GCTGCTGTTGTTGTTGTTGTCGTCCTGGGGTGATGTGTATTCTCGCGGCCTGATTGATTGTGGTAAGTCCACCGTACTCACACACATAGGTACAGGCGTGCATGCGGACGCACATGTTATGTACATGCTACATGGGTACTCGCGGACATACCCGCACACATACAAACACGTGTTCGCATGTGTGCCTACGGAGATTCTTGCTTACGAAGGTACAGGCATACCTGAACATGCCCGTACATACGTGTATGCAGCATGCATACGTGCATACATACGTACACACGTATGTACATACACTTGTACTTGAAAGACATATATACATGCATGCATACGTGCATGGATGCGTACATGTGTGCATACGTACGGGCGGACATGCGTATATGTATCATACATGCGATTACATGCGTACGTAATCGCTCGTACGTAAACACATATGTTTTTCACATACATGCATACATGCCTGCCCACATACATATATACGACCCACACATACTTCTGTTGCCTTGGAATCTTCGATTGTTATGGTCAAAGCAGTTGCCAAATGGTGTCTTTCTCCTTTCCTGCTCTATCTGCTTCAGTTTCTTTCCTGGTTTAGCATGACACAGGCATTTCTCCTTGTCTTTCTGCAGCCATGTGAGACAGCGAGAAGAACGGAGCGGATGGTCTCGTACATGTGCAGAACAACCTATATAAGACTTGATGAGGGGCTCTCTGCTTCCTCTGCCTGTACATGCGTGTAAACATGCGCGTTTCTGCAGGTTGAAGAGTATCTTGCGGAGCCTGTGCAGCTGTCCAGGATCGGGGAAACGCAAGCTCAAAGAAGCTTTCGGCTGCTTTGCCGCTCGGTCTGTGCTGCCGGTGTCGATAAACTTCAAGAAGGGTGAGCGTATTGAAGACCAGAGTGTCGCTGTGCTTTTTTCTGCGAAGTAGGCTGTCGTTAAAGCGCTTTATGTTTTTTGAAGCTCTCCCACACCTGCGAGCATCTTGCCAGTTTCATGTCAATTTCCTGGACGGCGATGTCCTCGAGATTCCGGCAACCGAGACGGACCAGGCTGAACATGGAGATCATGCACGCGACACAATCCTGTGCAACCCTGCCAAGAGATCAGGCGTGCAAGCGGCCCGAACTGTTCTGCCCGAAGGGCGTCCTCAACTTGGTCTGCAAGCGAGCCTGAGATCGGTCTCGAGAAAATTGTTTTAAAGTTGAGGGCCTGCAGCCTTTGATGCAGCCACTTATCAGTCTGCCTTTTCCGTTGCCCCTGACAGGACTCTTTGTCAGAGTAGCAGCAAGTCGTCATCACAGGGAGTGCGCGCTCCGAGTTGTCACGAAGTGACCTGTAAATGTTTGTGCGATTCCGAGGCTCGCTCAGAGATGCTCACAGGTTTTGTGATGTGGTGGTTGCTGTGTTTTAGTATCCCGGTGGTGGTGCGAAGATGATTGTTTTCATTTGCTGCTGGGTCGTAGTTTGTTCTCTTCCTGGTGCTGCTGTTGGGGGCGGTTGCGGTTGAAGGAGTTTCGGCTGTGCGGGTGGCAACTGGTCCTAGTGATGCCTGTTTCGACGTGTTTCAGTGGTAGCTTGACAGCTTGACTTGCTGCTAACCAGGGAGTTGCTTGGCTGGTTTGTGCACGTGTCCAGACGAGCAACAGACCCTTTGCTTGGATTGGCGGTCAACTTCCTGGATTCCTGGCTGTGACATGCTGCAGTGCGGCAGCTGCTCCTTGACCGTTTCCTATCGTTTCCATATCCTGGCACACGGTACAGGCTGTTGATCCAACCTGAAGGAGGCTAGACACGTGGCGCATCATGCAGTGGTGTTCGAGCCTGACAGTGGCATTGACTCGACCAGCAGCTCGAGCTTGAGTGGTGTTGTGTAGACTGAGCAATGAGCGGCCACGGGACCTTCTGCACATAGAGCGCATGGCGATCAAGGACACAACAAAGATCGCATTTAGGCTGAATTTTGGCCGTAAATCCGCGATTTGCATCCTACGTGTACCTTCTCTGTGTAACCTGCAATTGATGGAAAGTGCCAGGAGCCAGAAGATGCGAGCCTAGGCCACGACGGCACGGGGACCCTGAATGGATGCAACATCAAGCAACCTGCATGGCATTCCCAACATGGAACCCATTATCAGTGCAGTGCGCTTTTTGCTGCGGCCAGCAACAACTCTGCTTTGCTGGCTTGTTCAGCAGGAAGGATTCGGAATTCATCCAGTTTCGGATGCATGTTGGGTACATGCATCATTCGGTGCATGCTCCGGTTCATTTTGCATCTAAGCCCCTGGTTGCATCGTTTCGGGGGGCACCTGCGAGGCTCCGAATCGACTTCAGCCCCAACTGCCACATCCTCGAAGTGCTACTATCCACTTTGACGAAGCTCTTTGCCATCTGGTGATTGCCATGAGAGGGCTCAGAGGATGCTAAGATCGATTGCCTCAGCCGTTGTGGCTCTAAACCTTGCAAGCAAGGCGGGCACAGCATGGTCGCAGTGCCTTCGCTGCATGTGCCATGCCCTGGACAAGCTCGGCCTGGCATGGCACGCAGCTGGAGGTCGGCCCTGTAAGCTAGACAGTTTGCTGAGTTTGCTGATGTTTGCTGAAAGTCTTTGGTTGTTTCCACTTGGGAACCACCGCAAGCAACCACGCATGTGCGCGCAGCTCACAAAACCTGAATTGGATACTACGTGGGCTCCAGGCGCTGTGTAGTTTTTTGGCAGTAGAAATGCCCGCGCGGCACGTCATCTGCGAATGGTGATCCGCGCTTGCGCCTTGCATCTCTTGCGGTTACGCCGTGTCGATGGAGATGGCAGACCATTTGTCACCGGACCTTTTCATCACTTGCCTGTCGGGTGAGAAAGGAAATGTTGGCAGGACTGCGAGCTTGTGTGAGACCGCCTGCTGTGCGATAGGTCATGAGATGGCAGTTCTGTTCAGAGGCTTTTTGCACGAGAGTTGAGCTGCATGTGCCATTGTGATCGTCAGGATAGTGGACATCGTGCGCACTGCTGAGCACACCATCTGCAACTTGCATGAGCTTCGCTTGATCTATTCTTCGGCTATGGACGTTTACCCGAAGGCCCCGGTTTTTTTTCCTCATCCTTCCGCCACCACCGCCGCTGCTGTTTGAGAATTTATGAAACATGACAGATCCGGCCTTGCTGCCCTGAGGCCGAGGATGCCGGCTATCGTGAGCTCTGTGTCAAGTACATGCAGGTGCTGTGCGAGCTGGATACCAACGAAGCACGCGAGTTTCACAACAGACAGCGTGCCTTCGGCATCACCAGCGATGCACGGATGTACGAAGCCCGTGCTCGCTTGGAGGAGCGGGAGGGGGACACAGCCAAGGCTTTGAAGATCTTGCAGGAAGGTCTTCGCATCGGGGCAGGGCCTCCTGACAGATTGACAGCACAAATCGCGGCCTTACACACGCGGCGATCGAAACACTGCGATGCAGAGATCCAGCAAATATTGGAGCCCCTGGAGGCTCAGACGGAAGTACATGATACCATCATGGAAATTGAGGCAGAAAGCGTTCCGCCGATTCGGAGGGTCCATGAGAGACCGCTCATTAAGATGCGATCATGGGCAGAAGGCTGGACTCAAACGGAGGTGGCAGTTGACACCGGGATGCCAGGCAACCCTTCGGCCGACAGATGTCTGCAACGATGGTTACGCGTTGAATGCAGGCGCTGCCTGCTGAAGTGTTTCGGTGCTTGGAAGAGACTGGTGGACACATCTGCCCAACTGCGGCGCGAAGCATTGTTTGATGCCCTGCGTGGACAGTTAAACTCAGCCCAACGGCGATGCCGAGCAGCGGAGCTTTGCCTCGCCAAGGGTCAGTCAGAGGCAGGTGCGATCTGCTTGCGAGCGGGGCTCCGAGCATGGAGGTCACTTGCCAAATTGTGTAGGCAGCGGGCGAAGCTTGCAGATGCAGCGTATCAGGAGTTCGTGCGACGGTCGGCAAGCCTTATTCTTTGGGCCTGGAGGACATGCCTTTCTTCCCGGGTCGGGGACTTCGAGAACTCGGAGCAGCCGGAGAACACAGCCTTGGATTGCCTATTGGTGGACTTCTGCAGTAGTTTAGAGGACAGGACCGAAGAGGGGTGTCATCAGACAGACCTCTGCGAGAAGCCTGCGGCAGGCAAGCCAAGCGGTGTCGCGGGCTTCGCTTCTTTCGAGCGGCAGCCGCTTGCGAGTGTCGCCATACAAAATGCTCGCTCCACGTTGGCAGATGCAGAGGATGCGAAGCGCATGCGGGGACCTGAGCGATTCTTCTACGACACATCGAGCTATACTGGTTGTGCGAGGTATGGGGGCCCGATGATAGTCGACAAGAAGGAAAATTCTTCTGGACCCAACAAAACAGGTGCGTCTGGCAAAGTGGTGCAATGTAGTGGAAGTCTGCAGGGCCAATCCCAGACAAAGCGAGGCAAGCCTTTTTTGCCAAGATAAGTTGCCTCCGGCGCCTACCCCTTGGCTCACACTGTCAGCCGACGATTTGTGGTGTCGGCGTCACGTATTGCAAAAACATGTGACCGGCTTACAACAAGCTTAACCGATAATTCGTTCTACGGAGATGCTGTGTGCTCCGGACTAATTCGCAGTGAAGTGCTTTACGGACCGCTTGCTGGGCTGCTTCAGTAAAATTCAGGGAGCCTCGAGCAAATGGTGAGCTTGTTTGCAGCAGCGATCAAGCAAGAAAGCCGCCTTAAATCTAACACCCAGAACTGGCAGGCGAAAGCACGGCGCGCTGCTTCCGGCTCTGCTGGTCGGCTTGACAGCTACCAGCATCGCAGGGTGGTCCTTTGTCCAGGCCTGGTTGCTTGTCCCCTGCCCGTCACGGCTTCGTCGGCAGCTAGGTCACCGGCCGTGCAAGCGGTGGAGCGGAGTCTCGCCGTGTACGATGTGCCGTGATGGATGCAGAGACAAACGCTGCGACCATAGGCGCAGTGCAATGCAGATTGCAAGTGCTCGCACAGTTCGGGCTGTTTCCGCGTCCGACGCAGCTATGTTGGGCGCTCTCGTGTAGGTGCAAAGACAGAGAGCCTGGACACGCCCTCCTTCGAACCCAGAGATGTCGGCAGTGCCGAGCAGCTGTCTGTCTGAATGTGTGTGTGTGTGTGCCGCCGTTGCGGTACTAGGCTCACAGGCTCGCTCACGTCTCAGTTTCCCACTCGGGACTGATGCAGAGCCCGGGACAACCGATGAGGGCTTTGCAAAAGTCGCTGTTTTTCCTGATTGCTGCTTCTGTTCAGTGTTGCACTGGCCGCAAATCTGAGGCTGATGCTAAGCCGCATGCCAGCGGGGTGCCTTGAATAAAACATCTGCATGATTCCCATTATGTCACTCGCCATGTGCTACGGTAACAGGGGTGACTTATGCAAAGCTTTTCAAGTCTCATGTTATAGTTGATATGGGCTGGAAATTTCTTGACAGAAGCTCCGTTGGACCATCTGTGGTGCTGGCAGAGATTGAGAAGGGTATTCTGCTCCAAGTTCGTGTCTCTGAACTACTAAGTGCACCAAATGCATGCTGTTGAGAACGATTGGACGGGCAATGGTGCCATGCCCGTTTCAGATTTCAGGCACATGATCACCACGCACACCTCCTTGGCTTTGCTGGAGGGTTGCCGGGCAGCAGATTGGCATGTCGGACCGGCTGGATCTATCAACCCATCCAGTAAAACAACAATCCCAGAGGATCCCAGAGGAAATCTCAGGTCCGAACTCCTGCCGTAACCCTTAGTCCCGAAGTCCCTGGTGAGGTCATCTCGCATGCTGTTGTTGTGCGAATGCTTGCCAGCTGCAAGCGAGAGTGAGAGTCGAAATCCCTGGACCCAGGCGAGGGTTCCGAGTTGAGAGGGGCAAATCCCTGGACCCTCCAAACCCGGCCTAGCGGCCTAGCAGAGGAAATGCAGGCAGATGTAGCGCAACAAGGGCCGATCCAAAATAGCCCTGGAGGGTCGGTGACACTGCTGGAAATTCTTTGCTCAAGAGCGTGCACCGGTAATTGGCACACAGAGCCTAACAAAATGCTTGCGAGAGGATGCGAATGTTAATCGCTTCGGACATTCAGACTAGCCAAGACTAGCAGCGAGTTCAAAACTCCCGAGCTCCTGCAACCCCAACTAGATGTCTTCGTCGGAACGCCTCCAAAGCAAGGACAGGTAGACGT